TCCTCCCCCCCCCCCCCCCTTCTTTGTTTCCTTCTGATACCTAGTGCTTTGATCTGGAATCTTATTTGCAACTGAACTGTGAAAGAGGAACTTGGAGGTGTCCGGTATGCAAGTAAGTACAACCACGCTACGTGAAGTGCAGTTGTACACAATTTAACCAAATTCAGATCATATTTAAGGTCATAGAGGGGAAAGTGTATCTGTTTCATTTACCCAATAGCATAAAGTCCAATGAGAATACTTGCAATATTTCATAAATTGAGGGAACACCCTGGATTACTAGAAATTTAAAACCAGATAACAAGGGATATTTTCTCACAAAATACCCAGTCTGTGAGCTCTTGTTACAGGCTGTCAATGGGTTGTGTAGAGTTCAAAAGCAGCTCAAATATTTACATTGGTAACACAGATATCTGCATAAATGAGTGAACTGGGAGTTTGTCTTCCTCTAGGTTATGAAGTATAAGCATCTACCAGACAACAACATGCCACAGCAAAAGAATGGATAGTCTATTCTAGAGTTACTTTTGTATAATTTTAGTGTTGTAATGCCCAAATTACTGAACTTTGAATAAGTAGATACAAAAGTGTTCAGCGTCCAGCTGAGCATTGAGTAAGGATGGGAAATAACTGTCTCAGGTGCTGTGCTCTGAGTCACACAGATACACAGTTAATGGCAGTGTTCAAGGAGAGGGGGCATTTTGGAGACTGCAACATTTCCCAGTAATTAGGTAGGAAATGAAGTTGGATCCTCCAAGGTCAGAGTCGGCATCAAGTGCAAATTAAAGTGAGAGCAGAAAGCAGAAAGGATTCTAGTCCAGAATAAGGCTGATTTTAATAAAGGCAGAGGGCTTCCAAGGCGCTGAAGTTTGGAGTGATTGCTTAGAGGAAAAGAGGGATACCTTGGCATACTTTCAACCTTATGTTGTGACCGGAGAGCTAGTAGACTGCAGAAGAAATGGAACAAAAAGCTTTGAAGTGGTTACAGGCTGCCCATTCTGATGTTTAACTGGGCAGAAAGACTCAGAGAATGTCTGCAGGCCAGTTGGGTGTCTGTAACCCATTGTGCTCAGTCCCCACGGGGTTACGAGTTTGTTCCAGCCTCTGCTGAAGAGCCAGGGCTCTTTAGCTCAAGCAGCTGTAGCTGCAGCAGCTCGTACTTCACCTCTGCGAGTGTCCAGTTCAGTCCCTGCTGTGCCAGGGACACTGGGTATAGGCAGGAGTGGAGATTGTCCATTCTGTCAGCTTCTGTGGACATTGCAGGCTTGAGACAAGCTTGTTTCCATGACTGTCCGTGATTGATACACATCCTATCGTGCAGGTGCTTTGTCTGAACAACCTGAACCTTTTCTGTCTTCTAAGCTAGGCTAAAAATATCACCAGAATCGGGTGTCTTGCTTCTTAATTTATGTATTCATACATCCAGGCTCAAATTTTTGTCCTGTTTCTCTGAGCACCTGCATTCAGATTTAAGTGCCTACATAACTAAATCATTTCCGTTTTTGTTTTGTTCTGATCTTAAATAAAATAGTTATAATACGTAGTTACTTTGAAGCCTTGTTACTGTGTAGCTCAAAAAAAAATCCAATTTGAAAAAAAAAAGTGCTAGCAACAGGAGGGATCTGCTATGTTTGAAAAGCCTTTACATTCACAATATATTTCACTAAAAAAATTATTTAAAGGATGCAAACAGTTTGTGGACACGCACAAGTAGATCTATCCTTATCTCATCTATTTGATGTAGAATGCTATTATCCCGGTAATGCAGATGTAGAACTAAAACTGCCCCAAATCATTCTGAAATTATGTGTTACAGATAGTAAGTTGGTGGATCCCAGTCTGCTGATTCCATCACTAACCTCTGTCCTCCTTTCATCCCTCTTTCACACGTGTGTAGCAATATGCTAATATGAGGTTTGGGGTTTTTTTTTCCTTTCTAGTAAAACTGCTCTGCTGGAGGGCTTGGAGGTTGACCAGTACATGTGGGGCATTCTGAACGCTATACAAAAGTAAGTGAACTTATTAATTTCTGATATCCAAGCCTAAGCAACTAGGAGATATGTTAATGAGTACTGAGATAGCCATGTCAAAGTAGGTCTTAGTGATTGAACTTGAATATTCTACTTCATGGCTGCTCGGTGGAGCTAGTGACACAGTGAATCAGTTTCCATCTACTTAATAGATCTTGTTTGGGTTATCTCCTGATGGCAGTGTCACCAATGAAGCAGAGGGAAGGGTCAGAATGGAGGATTAAATGCGCTCTCCTATTTTCAAGTAGTCCCTGTGATTCACATGTGGCATTGCCACAGAGATATGTTTGGATTTCGTTGTGTAGATAAACACAGAAACATGCTCTCACAGTTGCCTTTTTTAAAACTTGCTTATGGCACACACTTGAGGAGTGAAGAATCTTGAGGTTGTGTTATACTAGAGCATTTCAGAACATTTGCTACCGTGCAGATTTTTATGGAAACTTCAGCAGAATTAATTAAAAAAAAATAGTAATCAATTAATGTGCTAAAATTTTCATGTTATTTTACAGCTCAGAGTTTGAAGAAGTTACCATTGATCCAACTTGCAGTTGGAGGCCAGTCCCTATCAAATCAGATATTCACATCAAAGATGACCCAGATGGCATTCCCTCAAAAAGATTTAAGACCATGAGTCCAAGCCAGATGATCATGCCAAATGTGATGGAGATGATTGCAGCTTTGGGTCCTGGCCCGTCACCTTACCCGTCCCTACCCCCTCCTCCAGGAGGCAACAACTCCACTGAATATGGTAACCAAGGTTAGTTTTACAGCTTTGTGCATCCAGGCACTCACTCTACAGTCAGTGGTTGAGTCAGCTTTGTGATTCAGGTCTGACAGGGCACCTTCTCCAAGAGATGCATAAGGAAAGCTAATTATACGGCTGCAGTTCTGAAACTCTGCATCAGTCTTTTCATTTAAGATTCATCTGTTTAGAGGAAAATGTATCTTAGTAAGGAAATTGGTGCTTGTCATATTTATTGCCATGCAGCCCTCCCTGAGGCAACAAACATTGTATTTTACCTTGTATGTTCCTGGCCTGCCACATATACATCTCTCCTCGTTTTTCTGTCCATTTTCCTTCTCTTCCACCCTCATTCAAGTGAAGGCTCCTGGTGCTACAGAAGTTACAAAGCACAGAACCTGACCCAATGGCCCTGCTACGTGGGCCACTAAGTTTAACTTGTGGCTGTGTGGGTGACATTTGGTAGCCCACCCAGAAAGTGGATGACTTTTAAAGAGCTTTTAACTGCTTTGTAAATACCCTTGCATTAGAAAATTACTTTTGAGTTCCTCTACCCAAGTGCTGCCAGAGTGAGAAACAGGGAGCTAAATACAAGCAGTGGAGGTACATTTTCAAATGACTGGTATATTGTGAAGAACCCAATTATAGTGACAATTCTGAAAATGTGAAACCAGAGACTGTTTCTTTTGCAAGTAATATGATATGACTCAGTTCGGCTCTGGGAAAAGACCAACTGTTCACACCATCAGAATCCCCAAATTGATTACAAGGTGATATATGTGCTTTTCGCAGGCGTTTGAAGAAGAATATAGATTGCATGCAAAATATGGTTAATTTGCTCCAATGACTGCAAAACTGATGACAGATGATAAAACTTTTTAGGTTTTCAAACAGATGAATGATTACTATAACAAAGCCAAGAGCACTGAATCACAAATTTTCACTCATTTAGTAGGAGTGAAGCGCGGTCAGAGCATCAGAAGGGAGCCATCTCTTCTTTGTCATCCTTCTAGCTCACGACCAGGAGCAGGCAGGGTAGTCACGTAGGGTGGGCTGTGGGGTTTGTGTAGCAGTTGCTGCCCAGACTGTTATTTCCCTGCCTTCCCCCGTGGATGCTGTAGCAGAGGTAGTCACTCGGAGCCCTGAGTCATCCGTGGCAGGTGGAACCCACGCTCTGCCTCCCATTTCCCCTGCAGTAGCAATGCAGAGCACCAGATTGTCCTTAAATGGCTTCATAGGTTGGTCCCTCAGCACGTGGCACAACTCTTGCCCCAGAGAAGGGCGTGCTGCTGCACGGCTGTACCTCCCCGAGATACTGCCTTGCCTCTTCACTCTCCATCCATACCTGCACTGAAACTTTGTCTTTAAAATGAGGTAATGTCCTCTGGCTAACCGTACTCTAGGGCAAAGTAGTGGTAGTATTACTACTGTGGTTTACCTTTGTTTATTTGGGTTTGACAATAGGCATACTGAAGTTTAATTTGCAAATATAACAAGTACTCAGTAATACAAGACCTTATCCCAGCTCCCTGCTATTAAATCTTTCCTGAGAAGCAAGGCAAGACCGGCTATGCTCGGTGAGACTCATCCAGTTTGCAGATTAACAAAATAAGAATTAGTAAGGCTCTGCAGTATTTACATGATAGATCAAAGTCCTGACTTCCCCGAGAAATACTCTTACACGGCTAATGACTTCTATTCCTCTGAGATTAAACTTCTGCTTGTGAAGCTGTGCTTAAAGAGCAAATGATGCAGCTACTTCAGTTTGTCAAGCTCCCTTCTTGACTTGGACGTTTAAAGCTGCTGTACTTCAGCTGACGAGCTGCAGGCTCTCCCTGCAAGCTCCAAAGCTAGTCTCTTATTTCAGAGAAAATAATTTTCATTATTTCAGTGCTTTGCAGGGGCTTTAGTTCAATTTTTAGTGTTTACAGCAAATAAACCACCAGAGTTGGTATCTCCATTGGAAGTGCAAACAGGGGGATCTGGACAGAAAAAATATGGAGAGTAAAATCCCTGTATTGGGATACATCTTTGCTTCAGAATTCAAGTGAAGATCGCTAGACTGAGGTGGGACAGATCAAAACACACTGAGGATGGTCATACAGTAAGCAGCAGGGGACTCCAGGCTTGTCGCTAGATGGTAGATGTGTGGGGTAAATCCAAATCATTTATTCTGAATTGGTGTGCAATTTTGTTGCTTTGGAAAACATCGTTTCAGGCTGAAGTTAGCTGGATATCATAAATTTATTACTTTTTCATTATGAGCGTGTATATCCACACGTTGAAACGTGGGCTACAGGCAGCCAGTTTGTAACTCTGAAAATAAGAATAGATCCAAGCGGGGAAAACTGATGCTGTATTTGCAGACAGTCAAATGAATTGTATTAGGATTTGTGAGAGCAAGGAGTATTACATCACAAACCCCAATTAGACCTGAAGGCCTCGTCTGTGCTGTCTTAATGGAAGTTGCCTGTTTATACTGCAGAAGAAGAGTTAAGATAGATGTTGTGGTATGAACTGGTCCTGTGGCATCTTCCTGATACAGTTCTCTCCGTTACTTTGTCAGAAGCTGAAGCAATGCTGAGTCCTACTGAGTGCATACAAGCATAGACATAAATAACACGGGTGTCCTGTAAATAACTTTGGCAGTCTGAGGTGCTTCCAGATGCAAATATTCCAGAGAATTTAATATCCCTTTCACTTACTGACTTGGTTAAGTGTATGTGGTGACTTGACAGTAGTTTTTCAAGTTGTCAGCAGATTTCAATTAGTGACAAGATGCACATGAGTTATTACAGCAGCCACTATTTGGAAGCTGGGTGCCGTTTTTCCCTCCCTGTTTCTCCAGCAGTGGGGAGCAGAGTGTTCATTGTGTCCTGTGCTGTGCAGGGATGATGCTGTCTCCTGCACAGCTTTTACCTCTGAAAGATCAATGTTGGGAAACAGATAGTTTCTTTCATATCCCGTGTGTTTCTCTTTTAGGCAACAGTTACCAAGGGCACGGCAATTTTGACTTCCCGCACGGGAACCCCGGTGGCACGTCGATGAATGACTTCATGCATGGGCCACAGCTGTCACACCCCCCGGACATGCCGAGCAGCATGGCAGCTCTCGACAAGCCTCTCAGCCACCCCATGCAGGAATCTGTAAGTAATGGTGCTGCCGATGTAGGTTTTCCTTTGTGGGGGTAAGGAGCTCTCTTCCAGCTAACGACTTGCCTCCTGAACTGCTTTTACTGTTTGTGGATTCCTCACTTCAGAAGTTTGTAAAATAGAGTAGTCCTGAGAAGTGCCAAAAGTGCCATTTCTAGTTTCTGGCCTTTTTGAGTTTTTGGAGAAGCATTTCTGAGCTTTTTGAATTGTTGTTTAAGCTTGTTTATCTGAAAGAGACAACCTGGCTTGGTGTGCTTGTGTTAATCGTTGTGCTTTGCTCTGACACCTGAAGAAAACTAGACCTCACTCCCTAGGGCAGCAGGGTGTGTGAACACCCACCTTCAGGCAGCTTGTGACAGCAAGACGTTGACTGACTTCAGAGCAGGGACAATGTCTTCCTCGGCTTTGTCCCTGAGGGCAAAATCGGCATCAAAACATTTTGAGGGGGAATTCTGCTCCAGTAGCATGAAAGGCACAAAGAGGCTGGGTGGAACAGGACAAGCCTGAAGATTTCAAGGAGAGACGCTGCCACTGGTCTGGGAGTCTGTCAGTCTGAGAGACTAAGAGATGGAGGTTCCTCAGGTCTCAGATGGAGAAACAGAACTGTGTGCTGGAAAAGCAGCTTGCTCGAAGCACTGAGTTTTATACACAGAATTTATATATCTGTAGAAAATGCAGTACTGCAGCAGCTAGGTGACAGAAGAGCAGCATTTAGCTCTTGGGCATGGTTAGTCATCTATTTTAACTTGGGGGGAGGGGGGCGCAGGGAGCGTGTGTACATCCTTTTATGTTCATTTAAGTTACAGGGCAGGGGCTTTATAGTGTGCTGTTACTGCACAGGAAGGATGTTTAACTTGACAAGTCATCTGTGCCGTGTCTTTAGTGAATACTAGAAAGTACAATTTCAGCATGTAATGAGGAAATGTGGTGGCAGATGCTCAGCAAAAGCCTACTCAGTGAACGTCTCCTCTAGCTGGCAGTGGGCTTTCCAAGGGGGATGGTGAGAAATAGGAAGAGAGTGGAGACAGAGCTCTCAGTATAGCTTGGAGAGAGCCCAAGTAACAAGGCTGCCTGCAAAGGAAGGGTCCAGAGACCGTAACGACTTCACCACTTTACAGGCTAATAAAGGACAGGACAAACGTGCCGTAAACTTCATTTTACATTGGCAAACTCTGCACACCCAGTTTAAAGAGCATTCTGAATTATCTGCATCAGAACCAACCACACAGTATTATAGAGTGTAGTAGTGAGGGGAAATACTACCAACCTGAACCAGTCTCAGCTGCTTTCCTTTGAATCAAAACCACAGGGAATTATTCTTTGTCTGCTATTACCTGACACCTGCCTCTTCACTTTGTCAGGTGACTGCTACACCTTTGCTCTCGGAGTTGCCCCAGTGAAATTTCTGAAGTGGTAGGATATGAAGTGGTTGAATATAAAAGTGAGGAATTTGTGGCTTTCTGGAAATGGGACTGCTTACAGATGATAGCAAAGGTGAAAGTTGCTCAGGGCTGTGCATGTTCCTAGAGCTCTAAAAGGGTATTTGGGCAAATGTTAATAGATTTTTGGTTCTGTGGGCCAGTGTGTAGCAAATGTGATTTTACTTATGATAAGCTAGCAATTAAAGTAAAGCTTCACTCACTTCTCCCTCATCCTTCACGATAAGCGAGCTGTATGTGTGGGGACAGGAAGCGGCGCTAAAGCAGGTTCCACCCAGTTGATGTCAGTGGCTGATTTTCTCTAATGAGGATCATTTTTCAGATCTACTAGCACAAGGGAATTAGACTGACCGTGTCAATGTCATCATGCAGTCTAGGCCACGTTTGAGGACTGCTAGTGCTCCCACACAGCTTTTTCAGTATTATAAAGTCTCTGTTTTCTTCTTTCTGTTTTTCTCCTTCTCTCTCAAAAATGAACTGTTTGTCTGTAGCAGACACTCAAGAAAGGCAGCCTTAAAATTACTGCTTTTAGAGAAATGCATGCCATTAACACATTCCTAAATTATACAGCTGAATGTCTTTGGACAGACATCTCTGTGTGAAAATAACTATAAATTACATTGCTGAATTGAAGTAAGGTTTTAAGATGTTGTCTGTGCTCTTGTCTGGCTTTCTGTCTTTCCTTCTTACATGCTTAAGGTGCATTTTGTGCTCATCTGCTATTCACTTTGACCGTTTCAAGTTTACAAGGTGAGTCAGGATCAGATGTGAGGTCATTTTAGACCCGAGGTCTGTCTCTGACCAGAGCTGAATGCTGCTGAGGGAGCTCCTAATTTTCCTATTATGAAGGTTTATGTGTCGGCCCTTATTTAATGCAAGGCAGAGAAAGCTGATCCCTCCAGACGTACTCCATAGGTCACTCCAGGAAGCGCAGATGTGTTTGCCCAAGGTATGTAGGGCTGGGTAACCAGGGCTGGATCATCAGAACTACCTTCTCTCAACGCTGCCGTTCTGCTTCTGTGGAAGAAGAAAAAATCAAGACCTGAAACGTGACTAGAAGTAATACCTCTTTCCAGTGCAAAGTGTTGTGAGAAGCGTAGAACAGATGCTTCTATGTCAGTGCCAGACTGCTACAAAATAGCTGCCACAATCCCATCGTGTTTGTTTCCAGAAATTGTGAAGAAGTTTTAGGCAAAGGTGAATTCCGAGTTAGCTCTGGTTAGTGCTCGTTGCAGGCGGTGTAAGGAAGGAGTGGCACAGGACTGAGCAGTGGATGATCACACCATAGGTTCATACACACGGTGAGGTGAGAGGAGCTGGTGCCGCTGCAAAAAGTAATTGCTCCTATTTCATCTTCACTTTTCCTCTCTGACAGCAGCACAAGTGTTATTGCAGCCAGGAATGATCTGGATCTGGGTACTGTTGTGATTGGGAACTAATTCAGAGGGGAGGAAAACCAGAGTTTAGCTTTGATCCATGTCAGTTCCCCAGTTGAGTTCACTGCGTGTCTGCGAGCATCCACCCGATGACAAAGGCATGGACAGGAAAGGTGGTCGAGAACTGCAGCAGGGCAGGATGGCACCTTTCAGTGGTTCTGCCAGCTAACCCAGCCAAAGAGTTGGTAAAACTATGACCCCAGTAATGGAGAGAGAGATAAACCATCGACTCAACCTGCTGATCTTTCTTTTTTCACTGTCAGTTTTCTGCTGAGATGAAAGGCATGTTGTTGTGCAGGTGGCGGTGCCCTACAGCGGGACATCTCCGCACTCCTAGAGGTCACTCCTGGGCTCGTAAAGAGTTGGGTTCTTTTGTGCTATTGAGCTGAAGATGTAGTTGTGTGTGCTATAAGCTTTTCTTTTATAGATTGTAAATGTTTTAAGAGTGCCAACGTTTATGCTCCTAAAAACAGCTCTGGAATTACCTTGCTGTGTAACCAAAGGGAACTATGTCAGACTGTTCATACAATGGTAGGAGTCGCAGACGGGAGCTGAGCATACTCAAAGCGTTCTGCTTAGAATGGTGTTTTGCACCACTTAAACTTATCATTAGTGAGCTGAATGCAAACAGAAACGTGTAGAAGTCCTGAGCATTTCACCTTCTCACAGGTAGGTTGGTAGGTGGTGTAACTCAGATGGATTTGAACCTGCGATGGCTGTTTGAGATTATGGTAGCCCTCAGTCTTACAGTGAACAATGACTTGCAACCCTGCAGTTATGTCAATGCCCAAGATACTGCTTTAGCAACTAAATATTTGTATAAATAAAGTGCTTGCATATATAAACATCATATAGAATTTCTAACCTGTTTGTTTGTGTTGAAATGTCTGAGAACATGTGAATGCCTCTTGGTTTAAATAATTATTGATATCAACATGCCAGTGTGACTCTTGCTTTGTGCATTCAGGGGCTAACCAAAATAATGCTGGTTTGGTTTGTTGGTTTGTTGTTTTTTTTCTGGAAACTGCTTCCCCCCTTTAGCAACACTGTCTTAAATTGCTTTTTACTCTTTGTTATTATTAAGCTTTCTTAATTTCCACTATTTCTGTTGCACGTGTCCTCAGTGAATGAAGAAGGGGAAACAGTGCTATTTGGATAGACATCTACTTTCATGCGGACTTCTGCAAAGCTTTTAGGCTGCAGATTCACTAAGTTACAGTGTGGTCTGTGGGCAGATTTTGTACAAGTTTACCCCTAAGGTAACAAAATAATGTTGCAGAAGACTTCTCAAGTAGTCAAACTGTGACCCTAATGGAGAGAAGAGTGTGTATCAGTACTTCTTAACAGTTACTTTAAACTCTGGTATGGGAGAGAGGCCCAAAGGAGGTGTTGCAGATAGAATCCTGCTTATTTCCACCAACCTCTGTATTACTGAAGGACCCATGTGTAGCTGAGTGTGACTGTCCCAATGGATCAGTATTCAGGTTTCAGTTTTCATAAGAGTGGTGAAATGTATTTTTTAAAAATGCTTATTTCTGTATTTTTTTTTAGTTTTGTGGGAACATTTTAATTAATTTTTGTAATAACCTCCCTTTTGCTTTCCAAAACTGAAGACTGAGGTTAAAACCACCTTGCAGTTTACGATGATATGAAAGGGTCAATGCTGACATAGCATTTTGCTGGTTTCTGTTGGCTTGGCTGGATGAATTTCATGCTGTTGTTGTATGTATCTGTTCTTTTATTTCAGCTCCACTTTGTGGCAATATGTAGCATTCCTCAAAAATGTTTACATTTTTTGCTTCTCCATATACCCAATTGACACAAGACATCAGATTCTGAAGCCTTCAGACACTTCTTTCTCATGGCAGCAAGGTCAAGCCCCAAAGAATCCACTAGCATTAAATATGACGTGCAGCAGAAGGAAGAATTGGGCTTGTGCGTTTTTGTTGCTTCTCTGTCATGTGAGAAGGACTTTTCCCCCGTGATTCCCTAACAGGGCTTGGAAGATGCATGGGGTTTGGTAGTTTATTCCCCACAGAAAACAGAAAAAATACTAAGCTTTTGCTAGAGAACTTATCTACAGCATGAATACAAAATACAAGTGTGATCATTAGCTTAGTTTAAGGTAATATATTTTACTTTGCAGCCAGCAGGTATGTAGGCTCCTGCAGCAGCTCTGCTGGTGGGTGGGAGATCTCTAGCGCAGCTGGCTTGGGGTTTGGTCAACCATCAGAACCCACGAATATCAGCCAGGAAAATATTCAGCCCTTAGAAGGGGTGTTGGATCCTGAAAAGAGCAAGAGGGGAGGAGTCGGGAAGGGCTGGTGTTTGGAAGATGTTTGGGAAGAGCTGAAACACAAGCAGGTGGTGGTGTCAGGAAGCCACCCAATAGGGGAGCTGAGCAGAAATGATGCATTCCCTCAGTTAAGCAGTTTCCTGGCATAGGGATCATTAATTCAACAAATTCTCCCATCGTTCATGGAATTTTTTAGGGCAGAAGAATCTGCCTTGCTGATGCTGAGCAGCACCTCCTCCCCTTCTCTTTGGGGTTTGCCATTTTGCATCTTCAAGCACAGTTTCCCACATGACAAAGAAGCCAACGGACAGCACAAACCCAACCTGTTCATCTCCCCTTGCAGAGAACCTCCAAAAAGCCGAAACACTTCCTCCGACATTGGGATATGGAGTTTTCTTTTCCAATTGCGCTTATTTGTTTCTTCCTTTTTTGGGGTGTTTTTTTTTGTTGTGTGTGTCTTTTTTTTTTTTTTTAAAATTTATTTAAGTTATTTCTTTTTGTAACATGCGGTTACAGAGTCAGGCACCGCGAGCACTTGTACCTTGTGGCCTCACTTTCTTTTCCTGCTTTTTTCCTCCTCCGCAGATCCCTCATCCCGGCAGCACTGATCAGTCCCATACTTCCATGCAGCAAGGTTTGCACGTCCCTCACCCCAGCAGCCAGTCAGGGCAGCCATTACATCACAGCGGGCCTCCTACCCAGCAGTCCCGGCAGCCGCCCCCGGCCGCTTCTAGCAACCATCCACACAGTGACCTGACCTTTAATCCCTCCTCAGCCTTAGAGGGTCAGGCTGGTGGACAGGGAGCACCCGACATGCCGGAGCCCTCGCTGGATGTAAGTCTGTGTCATACTATCATCTGCCTGCCATAGCGTGTGCTTCGCATCGCGGCGGGAGGGCGGGGAGGGCCTGGGGACGGGGAGCTGCTTCCACAGCACATGCCATCCTTCCATGCTTTGGGACATGGGCGCCAGGGCTGCAGCCGAGGTGTCAGGGCGCTCCCGGCCGGCCGGGAGAGCGGTTCTGGGCCGGGCAGCTGCATGGCGGGCGAGACGTAGCCGCTTCCCAGCACCGAGGCAGGCAGTTCTTCCCAGGGCAGCTCGGGCACCAGGCTGGGAGCCATCTCCTGCCTTCCCCCTCCTCGCTGGATGGGGGGTGCTCCCGTGTGTTCGTCCTGAAGCCGTGGTGGTGCCTGGGTAAGAGGCAGGACGCAGCTGTGTGTGGCTCTGCCTGCGGTGGGAGCTGCGCCAAGCGAGCCGTGCGCTGAGCCCTGCGGCGTGCCAACGGGGGGTCTCTGCTGGCCCACCCCCTGGCACTGTCACTGCTCACTGTGGCCAAAACCAGGCTGTGCCCATCCATCCATCCCCGCTCCTGCAGGTAGCTCAGCAGCACAGGTTCTTCCTCCCGGCACACCGCAGAGGAAAATAAACATCAAGGATGTCTTCTGCCTCCTTAGCCGCTGTGGGAGGCAGCTCACAACTAAAAGATAAACGTAGTTTGAAGCCAAAAGTAACCTCCCGTCTCTTACCATCCACGCACTGGAGCTGGAAGTGAGTTAGTTGAGGTATCTCTCGGGTGAACCACCTGCCTCCCACAATACAAATTCCCTAGCGCTAGGACCGGATTTTCGTTTGAGTCGTGCGTTCCTGTACGTGTATCTTCTGTCTGTTCCAAAGTCTGCTGCTGCACAGTGTCATTTTCTTAGAGGAACGTTCCCCTCTGTGCCTTGGATTGATTTCTCTCTGTATTTACGGTTGGTGTATACTTAACGTCCTCCCTGTCCCAGGCCTGGCAGAGGGGAGGGACGGATGCTCCGGTTACAGGAACAGTGCTCAGTGCAGTAACTCCTCTCTGAACCAGACTGCTGCTGTTTCACACAACGTGCTCACGCACACGTCCTTTGGGAATGGCAGTTCACGTGGCAGTTAGAGTTCTGAACCCTTGAGGACCCCATATGAGCGATATTAATAGGTGAAATAAAAAAGTAATTTTTTTTTTCTTCAAATATTTAAGCAACACGAAGTACGCTGTTACGGGTCAGGCACTCACTCCTCAATGAAAAGCAAAGTAGAAAAACCTGTACGTTAATCACGGTACCATGGTTATCACTGGTGGAGGCGTGCTGGACTCTTAATGGGAGGCTGAAATTATCTTAGCTAAATAAAGGCAAGTGCTGTGCAGTGCGGGAACAGAGTTCTTTGAATTATCTATGAGCTCAAACGTGATCAGATGGATTGTTCTAATGGGCTTAACTTTCAGTGGCTGTGTTGTGGAACCAGGCTGAATATAGTCTTATGCAGCAAACCAAACAGGGGACTGTACCACGGGCAACTTGGTCTGCTGCCTGCTGAGGGTCACGGTAATTCTTTAGGGCTTCAGTGTGGTGCAGTCTAAGGTTTAACCTGGGTTAAGGGATATACCTTGTGGAGATACAGACTGCAGGTGACCGACACTTGTACCTCAGACAGCAGAGGCACGAGACTCAGATGACTGGCGAGACCTCTCAAGTATTCACTTCGGGAGCTCTGGGTGCCTCTCTCCAAATTCTGCCCCTGTTCCTGTAGCTTCTGCCCCCACTCCTGGCAGCCCCTGGTGCTCCTCTGTCTGAGCTCAGCTCCAGCACCCTCAGAGCCCACCACGTCCTTTCTGAGGTCTCTGGGTTTCACACCAGCTGGGCAGGAGGAGGCTGGGCTGCCTGGGCCCCTGACCGATGCAAGCTGAGGTCACCCTCAAAACGGTGAAGACTTCATCTTCAGAGATATTGAGCGTATCGTTTAAAAATTTTGCCTTTCTAAAAAAATTTTTTTTTTTTAAATCTCCTATATACAAAAATGAGTCTCAGAGACATTACATTAATTTTTAAGAATCGAGTTGTAAAACTGTAGGACAAATTCAATCAGTTTTAACTTTCTACATGTTTGGTGGGGGCACAGTTTTCTTTTGGGTTTCTGTACTAGGGATTCATAAAAAATTGAGAGCAGGTGAAATACATTTTAAAGCCTTATATCTTTAGTCTAGTATATGACAATAGCATCTTTACCATGAATAAAAGGAGGTGGTATTTTAAGAAAAGCATTCCTTCTGGGAGATCCTGTTTATGTAAACTTGACATTGGATTTTTTTTCAAAATGCTTAGAAAGTAATAAACTTCTTTCTGCATTTCATGTTTAGCTTAGTGAAAAATATGTTCATCCATATAACATCAGAAGATGAAGCTGCATTTGCACAGGAGTAATAGAAGCATATAAATACAATATTTGCATGCTAAATGTGATGCAGTCAAGCTTTTAGTTTTACAGTATTTGAAAAGAGAGCAACTTAAAATGAAATTTCTCATAACTACTATTAAGTTTGTTAAAGCAGTCCATATTTTTCTGTCTTTGCTTTAACACAACATTGAATATAAAGGGAGTTTATTACACACTCTTCCCTGCTGTTTTTTATAAATGACACTTTTACTTTTGACTAGGACATGGTGAGATGCAGAATAAAGCAGAAAACACTGCTGGTACGCAACGCAGGAGTTAGGATTTGCTTGTTATCTGTCAGATCAAAAAGAATGAGTGACGGCTGGAAAACCAAAATTTTCTATTTGACATACAGTATTAATAAAAATATAGATAAATCCCCCACAACTATTCCTTTTGATACTTAAGAACATTGTGGAGATTAGTGCATCTTCTGTTGGGTGGGGTGTTATGCTCCAACCCTTTAAAATGTCTGGAATTGCCTGTAATGCTGTAGTTGAGTAGGTACTTCCAGCCACCATAAACTGTGTCACCGCCAAAGAGGAAAGGACTCGCCCACCTGCCCTGCCCCTCCCCTCCTCACGCTCCTTCTCAGTTCTGGTTTTGCTATTATTATTTTTTTTTCCCCCAAGTTCTGGGCTAGTTTTAACCCTGGGCGAGTTCCCAGCTGACGGCCCCAGAGCTCACACCAGCGCCCAGAAGCCCTGGGGGTGGCTGAGGGGTGAGGAGAGGACAGGGCTGCCTCCTTCTGTAGGGGTGGAGGCATCGGGTGGCCACCACACTGCCAGGTGCCAGCCAGATAGACCAGTCTTGGCTGATCTACCTAAAAGCTCAAGCATGTGTTACTCAAACTGCACCTTTCAAGTTTTTATTCAGTGTTTTATATGAAACTAACATACATAACGAGTGTTTTGTCAGCATCACTAGTTGGGAAATATACTTTGTTGATGAAGTTTGTGATGGGGAGGTTGATTGAGAAACCCTAATTGAGATGGTGATGTAATTCACGGGTAAAAACTGAGTATTACAGACTTTCACAAACAGGTGGATACTGCATCATCTTGGGGTACTAGGTTTGTGTCGCTGCCTTCCGGTTTATTTGGATATACACCTATGAAAGGCAGTTTCCAGGAATGAGTGGTGTTTAATCCCTTTTTTCCTCAATGGTGTTTCTGTTATCTGTAATTTCCCTTTTATCTTTGTATTTTATAGCTGCTTCCAGAACTCACAAATCCAGATGAGCTGCTTTCCTACCTGGATCCTCCCGATTTGCCAAGCAATAGCAATGATGACCTTCTGTCTCTCTTTGAGAACAACTGAAACCATGTGTATTCTCCCATCCCTCTCACTTGTTCACACGTGTGTGGCTGCACAGCGAGGAATCTTAACACTCCTTTTCCACAAGAGAAGAAAAAAAAAAAACAACACCTCACAACTTGATCCAATGGTGCACTCCCTGCTTTCTTCATCTCAGAACTGCTTTTGTCAGCTTCAAAGACTGCGAAAGTGACGGGAGAAAAAAATTACAAATAAATAAACAAATGCAGTAATCTCCGAGTCTGCCGTGCTCCACGTGACAGAGAAGCATAGACAGTTGTGCAGCTATTGGAAACCCCATTTGTTGTTCATCCTCGAGAGAGAGAGTTCTGTGATAAACATAGTGTTGAAGTATCTTGGCAAAACCGAATCTTGGCAAGGGAAGAAAAGGCAACAAAATGGAACTGTCTTTAATTGACCCGTCTCAGAGTGTCCTTCCAACGCGTGTTCTTCCATTTATTTGAAACTGTAATCTCCCTCTGCCCCACCTCCCCTCTGCCCCCCTCCAACCGCGGGTTTGCGGTGGAGCGATTGTCCTGGCCACACACAAAAAGAAACACAAAAACACGTACGAAGCTCAAAAAAAAAAGCACAAATCCTACAGTCAAGTGGCAAAGATAGGGAAGACGTACAGGCCCGTCAGAGGGAGGCAGCAGTTTAGCCGGTGCAGCTTCGGTACCGGGGTCCTGAGCATCTCCGGGCTGCAGCCGTGGGTGTCGGTATTTCTGCAAGCGCAGGAATCTGAACCACCTCTTTGCAGAGGATTCCTCTGGCCAAACACACAGATTGGAAACACCCAGGAAAAATTTTTTTTAAAAAATATATGTTTGCAATGTTTAGGGATTTATTTTTTTTTGTGGTTTTGGTTTCAGATCAGTACCATTTGTGGCTGTGTTACTATCCAGCTGTTGAGATTGCTGTAATAGATCTTTTTGCCATGTGTGCCGTGCGGAATGGAAAAGAGGAGGAGGGGGGATGCGAACCAAACTGTTCCCGATTGTTACCTACAGCCTTCGGTGCCCGAGCATTTGTGTCACTGTCTGTACTGCACAATACATAGTAAGACAGGCTGGGTTGAAGGCAGCCAGGCAATCGTTGCAGGATGGAGGGAGAGTAACATCACTATCTGCGTAATTATTTTTAATGATCGGCTTGAGAAGGGGCATTGACATTGGACAGACATCTTACAGCTTCATTTTTGGTTTGCTTTGCGTTCTGTTTTCCTGACTGTTACAGATAATTCAGCCTTTTTCTTTTCTCCTCCTTCAGTTTCTTTTTTTTTTTTTTTTAAACTTTGGCTGCCGGGATGAGCTCTTTCTCCCGAAGGACCGGGCGTGGGGAGAACAAGTAACTGTCAGTAGATTGCTACTGCCCTGGAGAGACCCTGCTGCCACCATCACTGTCTTGCCCCCGTGATCTGTGCTTCTCGTGTGGTTGCTGCTCCTGCATGAGCTTCCTATTGCTTCTGTGCCCATCTCTGTGCTCTTCGTCTCTCTCTCTTTCTCTCGTATAAATGATGTACAGTAGCTGTGTAAGAAGTGCATGTGTGCCAACTCTGCCCTCCTGGTGCAACATTTCAGCTTTTGCCCACTGTACAGTTATTGGTTTCCTTTCTTTTTGTTACTGAAGCAAAGCTCCTTTTCCCCATCCCGAATCCAATCGACCCCCCTCCGTTTGCTCGCCACGATAAAAGCTCCTTTTCCCCATCCCGAATCCAATCAAACCCCTCCGTTTGCTCTCCACGATGTGTTTCAAACTGAAGTGCCAGGCAAAATTCTGTTTGTTCTGTCGGTTTGACTAGATGGCTTCCTAGCCCTCTGTGCTTAGTTTGCAGTGCTGTAAATGGCATGCTCTGTGCTTACGACTCTGGATTTGCTTTCCTCACCAAAGTCATATTTGTAAATTCTTTGCGGTTTTTGTTTCATTTTGCTCTTTTTGTTAACGTTTCCCACTACTGCTGTACATGCGTCATGAGATATATATGCTAGTCAGCAGCACCTTGCTGTAGATATTAAAGGAAATGGCGGTTTAGTTCTTTTATTTTCCAGTAGGAGTATTGAATCTGTCAAACATATTATGTAGAGATGGTCCCACACTTATATTTTTCCTGTTTCGAGTTTTTTTAAGAAAGGCGCTGTTCATTATGCAAAATCAATTATTTTAAGAATTGCTATTGTAAATATCTTTGTGAATATTTTAGTATCGTCTTTGATAATATTCAACATTTTCATGATCTGGTTATACTTTTGCTGGTGTTTTTAAATACCTTGTCTGAAGAAAAATATGGGTCCTTTTTTAAAAAAGAAAATTGAGGGTTCTTTAACAGAATAAGGGAGTTGGTTGTTTTTTTTTTCCTTTCCCCCCCCCACATTTTCTTTTGATAAATTAGCCCAAATTTTGTATCCATTTATGAGATGAATGAATTGATACATCAGGCAGTACCTGGACAATCAGGGCCCAGCTCTGTCATGGAAACACAGTAGTAAGTGATTGCCTAGGGCAAAAAAAAAAATAAAAAATCAACTAACCGACCGATGTTCATTGAGTGTGGGTGATTGTGGGCTGGGAAAGGCAGAGATTTTGTTTGTTTGCCCAAGTGAGCAGAAAACACCTGGGACCAGCTGTCGGAACAGGTAAAGATGCACTAAGGCAAGCAGCAAGTATGCAAGGTACCATATTTATATCCCCGGTCTGGTGCTCCGGTCTCCGAAACTGGGGCACGGTAACACTTAGGGATGTTGGTGGGTGGGGGAGGGAAACAGTATAGTATATTTTATTCTGCTTAGAAGTGTCTTTTTTCTTATGTAGGCTTGACAACCTGTAGAGGGTCTCTGCAGAGTATTAAAGATACCTTGGTGTGATACATGGTGACCTGGTTGTGGTGTGGTGCTGCTGCCACACGATTCCTGGGAAAGGCCGTTCTTCAGTTCCCGATGTGTTTTGTAGCCATTTTACCGTAGTGGTTTCCCCCTGTATTTTTGCTGCATTGTTTATATAGGTATTGAAGTCATTTGCAGGGGTGGCTGATGATAAACTGATTTTATGCCCTTAGAGTTTGGGTTTTTTGTTCGGGGGGGGAAGTTTCTTAAGCCATAGGTTTGGAATAAAGAAGATTTCTCACTATTAGTTGGAACTGGTTGCTCAGATTTTTTTTAATTGATTCTATTTTAATGTTCCACTCTCCATTGATTCCTGAGCAGCTAAATTAGTCACCTGAAATGATTTTTCTCTTAAACACAACATTAGTATTTTAAACCGGGTATGTTAAGGATTGACCTTTTGCTAACTGGTAGTATTTAAAATGTATCATTTAAAAGTACCTGTTGGAAAGCATAAAGGGAAAAGAAAACCCCATAGATATTAGCAATATGTTTGGAGCAGTGTTTGCATCTGCTTTGTACAGTAATAGAGAATTAAAGTGGACGGTTGACATTTTTAAGCTTACAGAAACGTTTGGTTTCTAAGCAGAACTTAAGAGAGAAAATACGATTTTACCCATCACCCAAATGTTGGACACTCGAGACAGTTTTAAAACTTATCTGTCAGCTAAAATCAGGTACTGTATAGTGGAGTCAGTATGAAAAAGCTTCTAAATGAAAATTTAGTTATTTTTTTATCTGTTCACTGCCGTATTAAAGTTTAGAGAAAAAAACCTAGCAAATAGGGTAATCACAGTCATTTGTTTTAAAGCTTAATTATTATATGAAATTCCAGTAGTGTTTTTATTCTTCTTTTTTTTTTGTTTGTTTACTTTTTAATTGTTTCCCTATGGAAGTTCATCTGGGAAAGAACCCACAGAGATCTACAGTTCTGCTGCCAAGACATTACTATAGGACTGACAGATACACGCCAATGTCTGCAGCGGAGACTCAAGGGACAGCTGTACATATGTAAATGACAAATAGAGACATGTTAACAGAAATGCATTCATTTTCCTTGGAATGTGCATTGTTTTTATTTCGCAGGAAAAAAAAAAAAAGCTTGAAGCTCCATCTTATGTGGAAAATGAATCCTGTTTGTTAGCGTTTGTGGAGTCTCAGCATTTGTTTCACTTTCACTTCTGTAATATACTCTGATCCTTTGTTTTGTTTTGTTTTATCTACATGTAATATTTAGCTTACGTGTACTAGTCTATCACCTGTGTATTTTTAGGGTGCTACAGAAATAATGAAGAAAAAATACGGGGATTCGAGAAAAAATTGTAACCAAATTCATACTTTGTACAATTTTTGATATCACGATCAGAGGGAGAATTAAAAAAAAAAAAAAAGTACAATCTGAAGTAACATGCAAAAATGGCCATTGTCTTTGTTTGTACATTGTATGTACAGTACAATGCAATCATTTCATACTTTAAACTGGTCAGAAAAAATAATTGTGATTTTTAGTCTTGCAAAACTGTATGTAGTTAGATGATGTGACAACCTAATATTTATCTAATAAATATGTATTCAGATGAAACCTGTATATTAGGTGTTCATGTGGTTATTTTGTATTTAAAGATCAAATTATTTGACTATTGCTAGACATTTATATACTCTGTTGTAACACTGAAGTATTCTCATTTGCTCATGTTAATTTTTTTTTCCTAAATAAATTTGCAAAATTAAGGTCTGGCTAATTGGCAGCTGCTTTGTAAATTTTTAGTTTCTTTTTGAAACAACCAGCTTCCCCTTTGCCCTCCCTGGTTTGTGTTAGCGTGGAAGTGAGTTGCCCAGGGTTTACCTTTCCAGGGAGCAGGACTTGGCGGCAGGAAGGGGAAGGCGTGAACCACCCTGGAAGAGACACAGAATAAAAGGTTATGAACACAGATTTACTGATAAACACAGAATCACATAGAAGACGGTCCCTGACAAGTATCGGTGACTTGAGGTTCAGTACTCAGGTTCTGCCTGTCACCTAAACAAGAAACAATGACTTTGAAATGAAATCAGTTAAATTTTCATTAGTTTGCTATTGGAGCCTGTCATTAAAGTGAAATCAGTGACGTTGGAAGATGACCAAAATGAAGTGATTATTTTTTTTAATGCATCCCCATCCTAAAGTTAAAGGGCTTGGTTTCAAAATGCAGCCTTTGAGTGACAAAGTCTGCTTAGTTTCTCTGCCTGTGCCAGCGCAAGCAGGATGGATGGTGACACGGGGTGTCCACACAGGGCACTATCGGCAACAGCCATGGCACACACAGACCCTGTCCTGGCCACCACCACAGGCACCAGTCACTGCATCCGAGACCTTGTTTAAATAGAGAATTACTGAGTGTCTCTGTATTTGTATATGGCATTTGTGGAAGTGTTTAGTCTAAAGACACCTTTGCAATGTGTTAAAATACATAGGAACAACCTAACCGTTTCAGACTATGAGTATCTGTACAAGTATGTAATTGAGATACAGCAATTGCTCCACAAGGACACAAGTCCTTATTGTTCACCAAGACACACACAAGTATATATGCAGATACATATATATATATATATATATATATATATAAAAATCTAGAACAGAAATTGACTTTCTCAAAATTGGGAAAAATCATTTGTTTCTGATGCTCAACTTCTGCCTTCCTTGCTGGCACTACCCATTACAACGGGCCTTTAGGATAACACAGTAACATTGAGTTAAAGTGCACTTAGTGGTGAAATAGGAAAAATATTTATCCATTCCAGCCAATAATTAATGAATATTTTATTTTTGGTGTTCTGTTTTCCTGGAAGCTCCCAAGAAGTGTCAGCGAGACACTGTGCAAACCCGCTTCGGCGCTCTACAGATGGAGAAAAGTATGAAGAGCTGGAGATGTCCTTAAGGGCTGTAGGTTTTTCAAGCTTACAGTGAAGCCTGAGGAAGCCAGGACGATTCTGAAAGTGGAGAGTCTCCCAGATGTCACCTGAGGACCCCAGGGTAGGTATGATGTCTGTATCCATTTGGTGGGGGAGTCTACCATATCGTGTTCTGGTGCATCATGTGCTCAGCGTGTCACCATTTTCTATGTCGCTGAAACCCTACCGACTCTCTGTAGGATATTGTTCCTAACGCCTGTCATTATTGTGCCAATGCACTGTTCACATTTGTGTTCTCTCCAAAAGGAGAATATTTCTTGTATCAGACAGACTTCTGAAACCTTCTGCTGCCGTATCTCGTCTCTGTCAGTCTACAGAATTTTTCAGGGGAACGTAAAAATAGTCCACATGGAACCTAATCAATGACGCAATTTTATGTATAAAGCAAGCAGACAGGAATGACTCCTACAGGCATTAGCAAACAGCTTGGTACAGATGGACTTACCGGTTTGTCTGCTACACAGTTGATCTGCATTTCCAGGAACTCTTTGCCTAAATCGTAATAAATGGTTTTCTGCTATTTAAGTCTGTCCTTCTGTTAAAAACCACCTCTTTTCTAAGTGTGTGGACTAGAAGAGATTAAGCTCTTGCCCCTGTTCATTGAATATGTCTGTTTGGTTTGGCCAGTAGCTTTCCAGTTACTGAACTCACTGTGGTTTTTGATGGATCCAGTGACACACTGAAAATTCAGCTTCTCTAGAAACATTAGTATCTACCACTTTGAAATACACTGGTTCCTCTATACTTTTTGGGTTTTATTAGACATTCTAAGAGCTTTGGGATTACCAGTTCTGTTTTTCCCTAGGTCAGAGTTTTGAACAATTACATTTTTAATTTAATCTTGAAATCTAGACTTTCCTCTTTGCCCATAGTTGTTTCATGATGTTGGTTTTGGGGATTTTGTTGAACTGTTCTGGAACATTTAGTTTTATTTGTCACCTTGTTCACATGGCAACACATTGATTATTGTGAACATGGAGACAGGTTGCTAATTTTAATAAATTTTAACTGGTCAAACACTAGAAAAAGGAAAGTATTTTAAAAAATAATCACACTGTTGTTAGAGATGTATTCTTTTTTTTTCTTTGTTCGGTTTGCAAAAACTATTGAAATACCCCACAGTTGTTTAATGAAATGCTGGAGTTGAAGTCTTATTGGAGTTTTAATGCATATTTAAATTGAGTCAGATTTTCACCAACTATTCTTATATTTCAAATTTATCATCAGTGCTCAATTTTGCCTTGTTTGTTGCTTCTGTATGTTTCAGAATGTACATTTTGTACATTTTTAAGACATGCAAATTCAGTGAGTTTTGGACATACCCATGTATCTGTCTGATTAGCTGGCCTAGTTAGTGACTGGTAAAAATAACCCGGTTCATAAAGTTATGCAGAGTATGTTTTTTCACATTAAATTCTATTTGGCAGTTTTCCTTTCTAAACTAGGAATGACCGTCCCTCTGGGAAGCAGCATTACTTTGATATTGCCTCCACTAAACTGATGGCAAAACGCACAGGAGCGACGCTGAGGCAGAATCTGAAGTTGAGGAAACCTCGACTCCTCCGAACACCAACAGACATTCGTGCCCTGAGCGTGTAAGTATTTCACCAAACATTTAATTACCCCAAAAATGATGCTCTTCAGTTGTAAATGAGACACACGTTAATTTGCATCTGACAACTTGTTAGCTCAGTTGGTGGGACGCTGTGTATCCAGATGATTGTCACGTGCAATTATGTCACGTAAGTATGTCATAACGTTCCACGCCAGCTAGTGAGTAACGCTGTTATGTGCTGGTGGTAAGCAATCCTTTCTGTAATGACACTGCAAAAAAGCAGAAAGGAACCAGAGGGACTCTGTACTGTGAGACTTGGTTCCAGCAGAATTGTTCATTAGAAAAACTGGTGGCATTTTTTTAGTCTTGTTACGTCTGTGAAGCTTTTAATTTCTGGGTGATTCCTGTTCAAACTGACCATTTTTAGCTTCCAGCTGGCTTTGTGAAGTTGTACAACTGAAAATCATGTCTCAAAACTATGATTATTGTTCAAATTAGTTTAGTGCAGACAGGATAATTCATCTTTAGGAGATACAGAGGGAGGTGTTACTCAAAGAGTCATTGTTCCCATTTACACACAAGACAAAATCAAGGAAAACCCAAGGCTTTACCAGGCAGCCGATTAAAGCAGAGCTCTTGAGAAACAGTGGAGAAGAAAGGTCATGACAACATGACAGTGTAAGGAAAATAACTGTGTAGAAAGCTGCTAAATACTGGGAAGGTGAAAAGATCAGAAAAGGGACCAAACTGGACCAAAGACCTATGAGAAAATAATTTAAAAACTCCAAGTACTCTAGCAGGGATGGAGAATGAAAAACATAGTTAGGAGTCTGGGGTAGAGTCAGTGATGGGCTGCAGGGGTCCATGGGTCCCACATGTCCCTGTGTCTCTGTCAACACCACAACCATTTCCCATTTGAGTTGCAAGCAAAATTAACTTCTAAAATACACCTCCACCTAGAATGTGGTATTACTACCCTGTCACTCTCAAAATGCTAAATGTGTGATGTTCTTCCCCGTTCTTTCACCTGGCTGCATTTTCTAGTGTTCTTGACCATGACTATAGGCAGTGCCAGTACTCCTCTGGTTTTGGTTTTATTGGTTATATATTTGTTGTATCACAGAAAGACCTGGCCAATAGAGTCACGCAGTGAGAGAAAAGAGGAGGTGGAGCAGGAGCTGGCAGGGATGAGAGAACAGCTGCAGGTTTCCCTGCAAGTGGGTGGTGTGGGGGGCAACGCGGTGCTGCCTTCCGCTCCCGGGAAGGAGCTGCTCAGAGTCTCCTCTGATGAGCAATTCCCAAGGAATTCCACTCTCTGTAAGATCATCCCAAGCTCCAGACTCATCTTACTCATACAAGGTGAAGCAGTGTGACTAATCAAGCCTAGAAGTATCTCTGATACTATTACCTTATTTCTTGTTCCTCAGACCAGAGGTGGTACTTCACAGGTAAATAAACTGAACTGAATCCTTTAAATGTCAAGTTCTGTTATTATTTAAATTTGTGTATTTTAGAACATAGAAGGGCTCCCATAACTTTTGCTGTATCTTAATAGTGTTTTGTAAGTATGGAAAGCATCTCCTCACCCACACATAGACACCACACCTATCTAGATATCCCAAAGCTTTGCGAGTCCACCGGGACCAACAGCTGTATTTTTCCTGTAGCCTAAAAACACGCATTTAAAATACTCAATGTGCCTCACCAGGCTGTTGTGATCTATCTGTAAACGTCCATGGACCAGCTGTAGTGGCGTATGGACACTCCTTCTGGGCAGCTGCAAGGTGCCCTGGGCACTGCATAAAGGCGCTGTGTAATCTGACTTATTAGCAGTGAGTTTCCATACATTATGCAGGGGGATTGAGTAATGAATTCCGAGCAAGCAAAGTCACTCACAACTTCTGAAACGAAAATGCTAATCACAGCTGTAAAGAGCATGAGTGGATTGAGGTTTTTCTTGTATGACTATTTGTAGGTAATTAGTATGAAGTCATGTGGGGAAACTCCTCCTTTATGTACAGCGTGTGCTGGAGAGAAGGTTCATGTTGTGAGCTGGGTTACTACAAGTTCCTAGGAGGAAACCTTGATTGGGGGAAATATTTATTAGCATTTTTTCTTTTTATGTGTAAATGTACCTGTGTGGCTACTCTATGCCCTTTGAGCTCTTGTACAATTTAATTTCACACTGCAATCGCTTAGTATAATGGAAAGCTCTTTCACCATCTCCCCCACTCTACTCCCCATTCATAAATAAATGCATATCACAGATAACAGATCACAGAAATCCTTCCCAGCTCTCAACTCATCTTCCAGCTTAGCCAAAACCTCGAAGACAAAATTACACTGAGTGTTTTGAAGTGCAGCACATCCAGGCTCTGCAGGTGGAGGGTGGGAATGCCCACTGCAAATTCCTGCTCTCTCCACTTAAAGTCAAGCCGAATCCCTGTATGACCTCTCCCTCTACTGACAGTCCGGATTAGCAGTCTTGGAGATAACCAGGTCCCAGATGTGCAGGGGTTCTAAAAATCAATGTCAAAATCGATACCATGGGAATGCCCTGTATCACCGAATATCAAGTGATGTTCATGTGAAATCCACTTAATAGCCGATTCCTCCAGTCTATATTTGAGTTTTTATTTGCCTGGTCTAAGCACACAGCCCCATGAAGTGCATATCAAAGTGTGCCACAGACAAAGACAAGTTGCACGTAGTTGCATTCTTGCAGTTGGTGGGTTGCAAAACGGGATCTTGCCACAGCTGCCAAGATCAAGCCAACAGCAGCAATCCAAGACTGAGTAATACAATTCACCTACTTTCCCGTGCAACAAACAAGCAGACGTGCAGTCAGACAGAGTCAGGGATGCCCATCACCTTTTTACCAGTACAGCATCTGTCTGCCGGCAGGTAACAGCATTTCAAGCCCCTTGGAATCAAAATCCCCAAAGTTACGGCACGTTTCAAGCATGTATTCCTTCTGTTTCTTTAAAAGGAAGGGTCATTTAAGTGCTGTTGTTTCCAGACCATCTTGGCACAATGGTGGTAATACTCAGTTACTTCATAGTCTTGTTTATGAAGACTTTTAAGTTGTAGGCAGTGTATTAATATGAAGTGCTGTTATTGTATCGTTTAAGGTTCTTTATCCTATCCAAGAATTTCTCTGCTAGGGCACAGGAAGGGTCCTTTAATAGGTGTGTTTCTAAAAATACATATTTAGAAACTTTTATCAAATGAGTCATCCTTGTTTATCCATCTGTAACTTCTGTGTTGTCTTTTGAGATTGGGGGAAGGGAGAGAGATGGATGAAATCTGTAGGGCAGGCACCCATCTCCCTGACGGCTCTGCTGAACGACATCCATCCTGACTTTTGTCTGGGCCACCACGTCCTGTTCCCTCTCTTGTAGGGCACAGGGACGCCAGGTGCACTCTAGCCAAATGTACTTCTCTCCTAGCCAGATGTGTCAGAATTTCAATGATGAACAGATCTTCAAACAGATATGTTCAAAGCTCCTCTAAAATAATTTACTTTTGCTGAGCCTAGCTCTAAGCCTCATTTACTAGTGGTCAAGGGTGGTCTTTGACAGAGTTTTTGGAGTATTTTTTCTGTCCTTCTTGGAAAGTGACCTCTGTAACTGACAAGTTTCTAGTCACACTGTCTGCATGAGTTTTAATTCATCTGACCGTAGACTGTAGTGAGTAACGTAGTGACCGTAACAAGTTATTTAGTAGCTTTATTGCATAAAGTCTGTATTCCCAAATAAAAAACTCTCCACGTGAAAGGAAGTGAGTTGCTTTGCCTTCTCACCAAGATATGCAAATGAGGAAAACTGCATTGTTTGCTCTACCAAAGACACCTGTGAACTCTTAGCAAAACAGTTCAAAGCTGCTCTGCTGGTGTTACCCAAGTGTGAAGTAAGACAATATTTTCTTTTGCTCATCTTTTGTCTTGTTTATTAAATAATAAATCCTTCAACTGTCTGTTGCTATAGGCATGCACAGAACTTAACACTCACGTGCTAATTTTGGTTCGGGCTTCTAATGGCTACTGCAATTAGACCAACACTAAGAAGTGTGAGGTTTTTCATGGTCACTGGAGAATAAGCACATTGATAACTAGATTAAATAATATATAATTTCCAAAAAATGGACTTGAAGCTGAGAGGACATGACAAGGTAACTAGAAAATACATACTGATTTAGCTACTATTAAGAAAAAACACTCGTCTTTAGATCATTAGTAAAGGAATAGGAAATACTGGCATGGCACTCTATGGATAAAGTCACTGTTCACTCCTATCTTGGATACTGTGCAAAGATCCCTTTATCTCAAAAAAATCCATAAAAGTGGAAACAGCTCAGAGAAGGAAAATAAAGATTATCTCAAAGACATGGAAAAGCTTTCGTATAAATAAGAATTGGCTGTGACTTTTCAGTGTTGAAAAGAAATGATTGAGAGGAGAAAACATGTAAGTCTAAAACCATGAACAGTATGACAAAGATGGGTAAGAATCAACTTGTCTCCTCCAGTACAAGATGCAGATGAAGCTAATGGGAGCAATATTCAAAACAAACATATTCTTGATGCAAAGGGCAGCAGGCCTGGGGAAGGGCAGCTCGTAATTAATTGCCACAGAAGTTGCTGATGCTCAGAGTTAAGACGGGTCCAATGAGTGGATAAGTACATAGGAAAGAAAAAAGAAAAAGATCACTACATACCAAAGTCATGTCCAACTTGGGAAGTTCCCTGAAGTGGAAGCAGTGGGAGGTTGAAAGCGTATTGGCCTATAACACAGCCCTCGCCTGTTTTCACTCTTCCTGAGGCATTCCTTTGAGACATGATTCGGGACAAAATGCAACCTTTGGCATAGCCCAATATGGTTCTGTAGTAATGAAGCATGGTACGTCATCCCTACAGCACCGCCAGCTCTTGAATTGCTATCTCAAAACTCTTAACCTGCTAAACTTCTCCATGAGGCTGTTCCACTGAATGGGCATGAAGTACAGGTCTCTCTCAAGTGTGCCTGAAAACCAGCGTTCACCTAGGATTTCTCCATTGTCTGTAATTGTTCATCGTAGTTCTGCCCTGAACTTTGTGGTCTGGGCAGTGTCTTGATTGACAGCTTTCTGACGACTCAGTGAATGTCACTGATTAAGTCACTTTTAGCTGCTATTTTATTGGCAACAAAGAACTCAAGCGGAGTTGAAAGTTTACTGTTCCTTGCATAGGGGCTGTCCTTTTTGATTCTGTCATGCTGTATTACATTTGCATTACTCTAACCTTCATTAGAAGGTTCATTAGGTTGCATTACTCTAACCTTCATTAGAATAACTTAGCTTATTATACAATGAACCTCAAAATTACAGGTGCATAACTACTAGAATCACCCTTGGGGTTTTTTTGGTTTGGGGGTTTTCTGGTTGGTTATTTTTTAAGAATCATTTTAGGAGCTATTTTCCCACATTCAAGCGCTGTAATTTTTAACAAGGGTAGCCTGCAGTACTACAGATAACTGCTATTTAGTTTTGGTAACTTACTGCCTTAAAATAATCTGTAATAAAGCCATACATCCTTTTTAGAAGTGTCTTAATATGCATTTCCATCTGGGAAGCTGAAAGAGCAGAGCAAGCAGACAGAATGTCACGTATGTGCAGAGTTCATTTTGCAGAGACTCGGTGGTCCAGTTGTGTTCCGTTAACCGCAAGGTTTATATCACAAATGAAGAGCATCAGGCATCCTGCGTGTCCTTTGCTTCAGGTGTAACGGGGCAGAACACTGTAGGTCTAGTGGACTTGGACAAGCCTGCTGTGGAGAACAGAATTTCCTTTCCTGCTTGTTTTAAATGAAAAAAAGTTGGTCTCTGGGCTTGCATTAGTGATACGACTGCTGGCTGGAGAAGTGCTGATACATTCATGGTGGCTGTGCTTCAGCTAGCAGTGTGGAACAGCACTGTTTAATTATTGTGATGAAATTAAATTAAATGTATGCAGACTGTAAAATATCTCAATAAGCTTGGTTTTTTAGAGGGAATATAACTGGCTTATGAGAGTTGTCTTGCTGCTGGTACACTGATGGAAGAGCTTTCTTTGACCTCATAGACCAAATCCCAAGACATTTTGTGGCATTAAGCAATTTGAAAAACTTTTGAAAGTTGTTATACAAAAGAAGGATGGTAACTGTAGTGGATTTCAAAATAACGTTTGAAAATGACTAAAGTATATACTAATTACGAAGCATTTTGAGCTGAGTTGCTAAGTTGGGAAAACTGAATGATAAATTTTGCTATTTTCGTATAAAGCATGAATGGTATTTACCTTTATAAGCCCATGTACATAGCGATGCAGTGGGCACGCCGGAGGTCCGTGACGCCAGGGTGACATGACGGGTACGTGCTGGGGTGCGGGGCCGGTTTCCCCGTGCGTTGATGCCGTGGTTCCGTGGGTGCTGTCGGTGAGTAACGCCGTGGGGTGACTCCCTGTTCCCCGCTGCACCCACTCACCCCCACGCCTGATGGCGGCCCCGGCCTGTCCCCCCCGGGGCCTGCCGGACAGGCCTCACGGCCTCGCCTGGGATTAGGAAATGTTAGAAACTTCCCCTCACCGTTGATCCCTGGGGTGCAAGGGGCTGTGAGGAAATGTGGAAAAAGAAAGGGGGAAAAAAAAAACCAACCCAAACCACAACGGAAATCAAACAAAAAGCCCCAAACCAACAGTCCCCTCAACCCGTGGGTGCATGGAGGGATGGTGAGGGCCCTGTGAGGGCAGCCCGAGCCCGCAGCGGCCCGCTGACGGGGGAAAGCACCGGCTCCCTCCCTTCCTTCCTCCCGTCCGAAACCGAGCCCGAACCCCGCGGCTGAGCCCGCCCGGACCCGGGGGTAGGGTCAGCCCCGCCGCCCCGGGGCTCTCCCCGCGCTGCCCCTCAGCGACCCCGCCGCCATCTTGCCGTGCGCGCCTTCCGCCGCCCCCAGGGGGCGCTGTGGCGTCGGGCCGGAGCCTTTAAAAGGCGGCGGCGGCGGCCTCCGCGTGTGTCCCGGTGTCTGTCAGAGCGACCCACCGACTGACCGACCCACCGACTGCGGCATGCTGGCGCTCAGCGCCGCCCGCCGCCTGCTTCGCCCGCCCGGGGACCTGCTGCTGCCGTCGCCGGGGCTCGCCGGCATGTGGGCGACCGGTGCCCGCGGTTGCAGCGCGGCCGGCGGCGGCTCCCAGAACCCGGTGGTGTACTTGGACGTGGGTGTCGACAACCAGCCCCTAGGACGCGTCGTGCTGGAGGTAGTAGGGGTGCGGGGGCTGCCGGCAGCTCACCTGGGGGGGGAGGGG